AAAAATTATTCTAAAATCTGATAAAGTAATTCCAAATTCTTTTCTTTACTACTTTTTCCATGTGGTATAATTTAGTGGAATAATTGAAGAAATTAAAAATCTTAGCATGGAAGGTAAATTTGGATGGCATCATCATATATCATTTGATATTTAACAAATGACAATTTAAAAGAAGGATTTAAAATACAAAAGGCTTTATAGAATTAAGTGTTAATTTTTCTCTGATTTTTTAGGACCTTGAAGCTACTCAAAAGCTCTCAACAAACCATTCATGTCACACAGCACAAAAAAAATGACTTTAATTCAAGAGTAAAATTGAAATTCCATTTTCAACAATTGAAATTAAATTTTATTGATTTGTTTAGACGCTATGCTGATGTCTGTCAGTGTATGTGGATGAATTTAATTATGATAACGGATTATAATAATAATAATTATAATAATAATGAAATAAATTCAAATACCTCACTACACCTTATATGATAACGGATTATAATAATAATAATAATAATAATAATAATAATAATAATAAAATAAATTCAAATACCTCACTACACCTTATTAAAAATAATAAAAAAAAGAGAGCTATATTTGCACCAATTTGTTGTAGTGAATACCTATTCAAAACTTTCTGATTGATTAGTTATGCATAATATAAATAAGTGGAGGGTTCCACTCCCTTATTTGTTACATAAATGGACCAATTAAAATAAGTAAGTTTTGACAATTTACTAAAACAAATTGGTGCATAAATCATTTTTCTAAAACAAATCTCATAACTCCCAATTTCATATCCGTTAGCACATCATCCAATTCTATGATGGAATTATTTTGACTTTTGTTTCATAAAAGGTACCCAATTGGATTAGTCCATAATTAATATGGTATAAATAGTGTGATCGGATCGGATAGGTTTCAATTTTAAAATCCTCATTGCTAGTGAACAAAATGGTCGTCTTGTTTGCTTCTAAAAATATTAAATTGAGTTCACGTATGTACAAGCTTTTTATTTATTGAATTTTCTACTCTACTCTTTTTGGGGGGGATAATTTGCAATTTGTAATTTTTTATTGAAATACTAGTAATTATAAATTTGAAGGTGTCACAGTATAATTTCTCTCCTGGTTATTTAATATTTATAACCCGCAAATTTTATTTACATTGTTGCATTGCTCGCCCAACTGCCCGCAAAGAGAAGATGATCCCCAACGTCCATTAATGTCGAAACCTCCCAATCTCTCTGAACCACCTCCGCTCCAACATAGCCCTCCGCCACCGGCGTTTATTACACAGCAATAGACGAACTGTTGGACAGACACTTGGTCAAGAAAGACAAAACCCACTTTTATTCTGAAAGTTTTAAATTTTAATATATTGATTCGAATTGGTGAGAGTTTGATCAGTGGCCGTCCCTTTCTTGGAATGTCTAGGTGCTTGGTTAGATATTGATTCATAGAATATGCTCCTTTCTTTGCAAATGGGTTCGCGCAGTTGTTATCTAGTTATGAACAGGGTGTTTAAATTTAAAGAGATGAAGTTTTTTGCTGCAGTCCAGTGGATTGATAGGTGCACGTTTACCACTGGGTATGCCAATGCACTAACATATGGAATCTCTTGTAAACAAAAGTGTAGCATTAGTCGCTTAATAACAAATTAACAATATATCTTTCAGTATTCTGACACGAACAGGACAGGCTGGGTAGCTTGTGAAATGTTTCTGTAACTAGAATATTGGCTAGGCTAAATAGCTTTGAGTGACTAATAGTTCAACCTATTTTTAATTGTCGACAATATGTGGCTGATGAAGTTGACTCAGGGATAACACCAGTAGGACTGACTATATTTAAGGGCTTTGTGACATGGAGTTCATAAAACAATCACGAGAATAACGTTAGTTATGAAAGAAAAGAAATGGAAGTGTTAACTTCTCAATTTGTTTGGTTGATTAATGAAGAAAAATATAGTATTAACTTTGCATCGTGCTTCCACTTGTAGAAAGATAAGAAAATTACCACGTGGGGGGTTGTGAATCCCTCTTTATCCGTCCAAATCCATCCACTTCTCCCTTCTTCTTCTCCTTCATTTTTTTCTTTAATTTTTTCCCTTGACAAAAGTTCAAGGGAACATGCACTACGCTAGTGTGTTTTTGTCTCCACCGAAGTTGAACACTCGACCTTCCCAAAGGGAGGAGAGCTTGTTACCCATTCGTATTCCTTCCTATTTTTTCAAGACAAAACAACACAACATTTCTATTGATATCATTCCTGTTTTCTTTTCTTGTTTTTTTTTTTTCTCCTCTCATTTCCATAAAAAAGAAACAGGCCCTTAGTTTATGGAAAGGTGATTTCTTTGTTACAGAGTTTCCCGGTTCTGGTGGAAGTTCTGATTGAGCAATGCGGTGTGTCTTCATTATATAATTGGTCTGGAAAGAATTGCAAGCTAAAATGTTCTCTCCTCTCTTGTATGTGTGGGGGTTTGAATGTGGGAGCATAGCACTGATCCTTAACAAACGCTTATGGTCCCTGCTTGGCTACTTCCACATCTGCTTGAGTTGAATAGTGCAAAACTAGATCTGTTTCTTGCTCTGGTGTCTCGCCAAGCGCTCGGTTCGGAAGGACCCAACATTGTTTTAATATTTTTTCTTTTACGGTTGTCGGGATGCTCTTGAATAATCCAATTTAAGTGAAAATTTTAGTTAGTTCAAGAAAAATGATGATATAAATGTCTATTTGAATATTGTACCCATTGATTAAAATGAGAGAGAGAGAGTTAATTATTAATCCTTTTGTCTATTCATTGCGTCAATCGTTTTTAGTATTATTACTCTTGGTTTAATGAGAAAGCTTCTCTATTAATCAAGTTTCACAAAACAATTAGTTATTATTGTTCTTTCCAAAAATAAAGAAGAAAAAAATGAACAGTGGTCTTGAAATTTTTTTTATATTTCCAATATTTAACTTTCTTTCCTTAATAATTTTGACGAGGATTGAACTAGGCCGGACTAATCTAGTGAAGCAAAATATACTAGGGCCTGGGCATGATTTGTTGCATGACGCCCTTGAGAATTCTGTGCTCTGCTAAACCCATCTTCCTTTTTCGAATAGCTTTAAACTCACATAAATAAATAAAAGTTATAGGACTTTTAAATCCTGAATCATTATTCATAATATAATGTCTCCTGTCAATTATAAATTATTATTATTTAGATTTAGAAAAAATATAGAATTTTTATTGACAGAAAGTACTGCATATTAAGTGCTCGGGATATTTTATTTCGATATATATATATATATATACATATCCCTGATGTCCCCACCAAGCAACTTAACAAGGTTTGGGGTGTGGACACTGGACAGCTATGTGGTTCGAGCGTCAAGTGGTGTACATATAACTTGCGAGTGTTCATCCGCTCGGTGCTTAATTTATACTATATATTAAAAAACGAAATGAATGAAGAGGAGACAATAAGACAGGGACGTGCTTGGGAACCACTACTCCCAGGGGCACAGAGGAAACAGAAAGGAGTGTGTCCCCCTAAATCGTGATGAACCAAAGTATGTGACCCATGTCTCTTTGTATCTCTATCATTCGCACCAAAGGATAAATAAATAATAAATAAACAAAATTGATGTAACAACGACAGGGGTGAGAATTTGTGCGCATGTGCCGTAGTCGTGTTGTATCAAACGAAGAAGAATATTATGTTAAATGGTTTGACCGGAACACAAATCGTATCAAAAATTCTCAATACTAATTCGACCTATTTATTCAATGAGTTACACGTATATTTTATTTAATGACTAATTTACAAAAACAAAACATTATATTATTTAAATTATTAATAATCCTCAATCAAACAATAAATACTAAAAAAAATATAAGTTTCAATCTAATTAAATTACTAAATAATCTTTAGTCTACAAAAAAGTAAATTATAAGACACAGGTTTAAATAGTAATTTTGGAACTCAAATAAATACTTATTTATGATATGTATAGTTAAACGTGTATAAACGAGTTACACAGTTTGAACCCCTCAATCTAAACATGACACGATTAACTAAATAGATTAATCGTATCAACCCATTTATAAACGAACACCCGCTTAACTCATGTCAAGTTCAAGTCGTGTTGACAAATCATGTCAAATTTTGCCACCCATAACAATGAATCATGCATATCAAGTAGATTTCTTAATTTACATTTTTTTTAATCCTTAATCTACACAATTGAAGAAGGCCAAAGGTCTCTCAAGAATATCGTTGTGTTTGGAACACTGAATCGCATCTTGAAAGTGAGATCGGAGAAAATTCAACTTAAATTTTGAACTTAATTTTCTTTAATTCCAAATCCAAAATACTGATTCGATCCTTCCAAATATAATATAAAATAGGAAAAAATATAAAAGATAAAAATATGAAGACTACTTTGATAGTTATGAAATTACAATCTTTTTTACTCAATTGTCAGAACATTGTTTCCAAAGGATGTTAATTAAACAAAATTTGAAACTCCTTTCAATTTAAAATGAATTAAACATTCTAGTTCTAAGTGGTAAGATTTGTATGGAAAATGTAAGGGATATAAATGGGTTGAGTGTTAGACTCACCTAATAGTTTAAGCTTTTGGATATGATCGTAAAGCATTCGATTTATTACACGTAGTATCAGAATCATCTGATATTATGCAAAACGCCCTATCAGAACGTGATCGATCGAGATGGGGAAAATCGGATCTAAATATAATGGGTATAAATGAAAATACTCTATACATCATATTCCAATGGAAAATGATAACTGATTAGTGAAAAATAATTATTAGACCTGATAAACCCCCACTCCTTGACTTGGGGACATATGGTCTGGTAAATGGGCCGAACTCCTAGCCCGTTTGACCCCAACCCAAAATAAAAAGAGAGTGCATTTTGGGTGGGTTGGGCTGTGAAAGGCAGTTGGGTAGCTGGATTCCGGGTGGGTTAATTCTCGGGTGAAAGTAGAAACTTGAAATAATGAAATCTGCACCCACAACGAATTGCTTCTTGCTGATAACGACCAGATTTCGATTTCGTTGTTGAAAACGTCCACGCTAGAGAATAAGGAAGAAAGAACACTCGATTTTCTCATTGTCCCCAAGGTATACCTAAACTTTTTCCCTTTAAACAATTTGTATTTGTTTCATACATTTGTTGAATCCAAAAATCCAAGTTTTAGGGTTTTTAAGGAGTAATGTCACTACGATTGATTTGATTGAAGGATTGAACTGAAAATAAAATCACACACATAATTTTTTTGGGAAGAATCTGTAACTGCTATTTTTGTATATCATAATTTTTGGATTGCAAAATCCTTGTGTTCCTATGAGTTAACCCTAACTTACATCCTCATGCAAGCTTTTTTTGTCAATTCAATATTCGGTCAGATGGTTGTTTGATAAATAGGTTTAATTGTTTGATATGTGTGTGTGTGTGGGTGTGTGTGTTTGTGTGCGCATATAAGTAGTGGTTTCATGTTGAGTATTGCTAGTTGCATTTCATACATTGGCTGAGTAGCTTGAGGAAATTGCTTTACATCGACATGTTACAAGGCACAGCGTAAAATGGCCGTTCTTATTTATGATTGTTTGTGATTGCATTCGCGTCCATGAATGGAGGTAATGATTCTAACGAAGTAGATGACATTAATGAGAATGAATCCATTCGAAGGAATTTTGTGCATAACATCAAAATGCAATTTGCTTGTTTATGGGTATAGCATGTTCTTCGTTAGCGTCTAGTACCTTTGAGGTTCACGTAGTTCCAAATCAAAGCGATTAAGTTACTTTATGGAGGAGTATTTCTGTCATTTTGTTGTCAAAAGTAAGGTAGAATTGTTCGAGTACTTCTGGCTGTTCTGCTATTACAGCTAATAATGGTGTCTCTTCACAAGGGAAGAGTACTTATAGGAGTAGGTTTAGCCTGTGAGACTGGTGGCCCATCACCTATGTTCATGTATCATAGGCTGTTAATTTGCATTTTAAAACCTTAAATGTTTGTTTGATGAAAAGCAACTGTAGTGCATGGAGCTTTTACTGGAAACAAATTATCTCCAAAATATGCTGATGGATATTTTAGCGCACATAGTCTGACATTTTATTTAATTTTTATGTCTCATATATTTTCCAAGGCTAGACTATTTCAAAATTTGCATTTATGAATCATGAATAATTTTTGCTGAATTTTATTATGTAGTCTTTTAGCTGACTCTTTTGAAAATACAATAAGTTAAATGATTTATGGCACTAGGAGTCTATGCCCCCTCAATCCTCCTTTTTCTTTTTCTTTTTTCTTTTTCTTTTTTCTTTTTTCTTTTTCCATTCTTCTCCTCTAACAAGAATATGGTTAATAATTGCTAGTCACTTAATTGTGGTGGAAATGTTCAGAGGCACGCCCCTGAATATCAGGGTCATTAGTACAAGTTCGAGTCTTAGAGCAGCCACTTTGTGATATACCAAATCTTAGGTCTGTCTTGAGTCCCTCTCCCGAAGACCTTGTTGTGGCAGGACCAAAATTGGATAATGTCCTTTGTCACGGAATGTTGAATAATTTTTGGATATGTAAACTATGTCACATACATTGAGGTATGAGTATGGGATCAGATCTGTTTTTAATTATCAACGCGTTCTCAAATCCTGGAATACAGGGAATTGACTTGAATGGGTATGTAGAAACATTTTTTCACGTTAAATAACATTTACATATTATTATTTTGTTAGAATATAACCAATTAGAATTTAAGTTAAATGGGATGTGCAAAAGAAGGCAACCCCATACCATGGTGTGTGTTTGAGAAGAAAAATCTATGCGCATACTCATCTCGTATTTTGTTGGCATGGTACATTGAGAAGAATAGGTAACAGAATGTCACGCAGTGACATGGTCGCACCAGTGGGGCAAACTCTAATTAGAAGTGCATTTATGAATGTATTGACTGAGGTCACTGACTCACACCAGTGGGGCGAACTCTAATTAGAAGTGTATGCGTTTACTAAACTAATCCTAAGAAATTAATAAGTTTGATTGAGATCTTATTCTGAATTTTGAACATAACTTTGAAATGTTAAAATCAATTTGCTTTCTAGTAAAGTTAGTCACTATTTGGATCAGCTTTGCTCGTAAGATAGACTCCGATTTCAAAGTATGCAACTGTGGAAGGGATTCAGTTATTGTTCTCCCCTTGGATTTGCAGGAATTTATCCTCCGTGCTCGAGTATTGAAGCTGTACAGGCAAGCTTTAAGGACTGCTCGAAGAGCCCCTGGTCATGCAAGAGGTAAGATTTTGTAACTTAGGAAAATCGTGTACATAACTAATAGTTTGTGGTTTGGAAATAAGAAGAATATATGGAAGCTTTTAACATAAGGGAAACTTACTGGTTGTTTTTCCAAAATTTGTACTTTCTTCTAATCTTATGTTCACTAATTCCCTTTGTTTTTTTCTGTTTGTTTGTTTGTATACTTGTTTGATGACTTGATCTTTGTTCAAAACCTAGGCAAATTTATAACTAAAGACTTGAAAATCCCTTGTGGTTGGAATTTAATTATAACATCATATGTTGCACTGACAACTCTCAAGTCTCAAATGCCTTCTTTCCTTTTCTTTTTCTTTTTTTTAAAAAAAAAAAAAAAAATTATTTTGTCTCTTATTTCCATGAAGTTTTCAAGGGTAGAAATTTCAAAAACTGCTGCTCAAATAAGGAACAAATTTGCAAAGACTTTTCAAACAAATTAATTTTGGTTTACAAACTCTAGATTATCTGACAGAGTCACATCACATGCATTAACAGAGAAGTAACTTGCCTTGAATAGTAAAAACTTGCCTTGCTGGTAACTCTTTTGAGAGATTATATTCAGAAATGCTTATGAATTGTAATTATATTTTCAAAGGACAATGTTTCTGACCTTTTTATAAACAGGTTGTCTGTGTTTCTAATTTTTTCTTCTTTGGTAAGTAATGTTTCTATATTTTATTTTAACGAGGACCTCAGTTTTTCATGATAATTTGATATCATTCTTTTACATTTTCATAGTCATTTCTTAATATAGTCTTTTATCAAATTTGCCACCTACTTAAGATTAAATTTTATGAGTTGTTTTCAAACATTTTCCTCGTCGAATTGACAATTTTATAACTCGTTTACACTTCTCGACCTGGTACCCGTGTTCCAAACTTGTAATTATTGTTATTGATATTTCAGTTTTTCTTAAACGTATTTGAGCTCTAGTTTGAAAGTCTGGTGTGCATTATCTTCAAACAAATTTTTATGCTTCCGTAGTGCATAATGGTTGAAAGCTCAACGGTGTTGCATTGATTGTGATGGATTTCACAGTTGAATTGAAACAGCAGATTAGACAAGAGATGGAGACTACCCGGAACTGCACTGGCAAGCAGAGGATTCGTTTCTTGGTCAGAGAAGGATTAGAGAGACTGAAAGGTCCGAGTGAGATGCTTGATATGCAAGGTCATTGCTAATGTAGTGAGTGAGACTCTGTTTTGTATTTGCAAGGAATTCTTCCCCCTTCTGTATCTGTTTCAACATAATTCAGTGTTCATCAACTTTGGTCTCTCATAAAGGATGTGTATTTTTGTTGTCTCCATATTGCGACCCAAAACAAGCAAAAAGAAATCCATTGTTGTTTAAGGAATTGGCAGTTTGTGAAGAAATTTTGGAGGGATGAAATTTGCAGTTGTCTCGTTGGGTCTTCTTAACCCAATTGGACCTGTGGCATGTAACATGTTGTTACAGAAAAGTAAAAAAAAAAAGGTTTTTTTTATTTTTTTTTTTATTTTAAATATTCCAAAATCTAATAAAGTAATTCCAAATTCTTTTCTTTACTACTTTTCCATGTGATATAATTTAGAGGAATAATTGAAGAAATGAAAAATCTGAGCATGGAAAGTAAATTTGGATGGCATCATCATATATAATTTGATGTTGAACAAGGTGAGTCACAATTTAAGGGCCGTTTGGCATGGATGTGTTTTAGATGTTATGTTTTTGGTCAATATTAAAACGATTGGTCAATACCAAAACAATCGTTTTGTTTTGAGAAATTTAAAATTTTGCTTTAGCACCAATTTAGTGATATGGGTTTAGGCCAAAAAATTTAATTATAAACTATTCCAAACCAATATTAGTCAATCCAAATATGATTTGGATTCAAATTTGAATAACAATATCAGAAAAACAATATTATAACAACGCATGCCACAAGTCCTAACTATTTGTTGATGTCTGTGGATGAATTTAATTATCATAATGGATTATAATAATTATAATAAAAATAATGATAATAATAATAATAATCAATTCAAATACAACACTACACCTTATAAAAAAAATCTCATAACTCAACCCTAACGTCCCAATTTCATATCCGTCAGCACATCAGCCAATTCGAATTATTTTGGGCTTTGTTTCATAAAAGGTACCAATTGGATTCTTCCATAATTAATATGGTATAAATAGTGTGATCCGATCGGTTAGGTTTGAATTTTTTAAAACAATTCAGATTAATTGATTTTAAATATTACTAAATCAATTTAATTTAAAATCCGCAGTGCTAGTGAACGAAATGGTTGTGTTGCTTGCTTATAAAAATATTAAATTGCGTTATGTATATAGAAGCTTTTTATTTATCTATTTATTTTTCTGCTTTCTTTTTCTTTTTCTTTTTCTTTTTTTTTTTCTTTTTTTTTTTGTGGGATGAGTTGCAATTTGTAATTTTTATTCAAATACTAGTAATAATAAATTTCAAGGTGTCACATTATAATTTCTCTTCTGCTTATTTATAACCGACAATTTTATTTACAATTTACTTCTAATATCACCAACCAAAAATATCTCAGCCATAAAACCCATGACTCGCCGGAATCACTCCCCTAACCATCTCAAGCCACCATTCCATCCTTTACCCAGTAGCCCTCCATCCCACCCCTCATAGAAGTCAACAACAACCCAAGTACCATCTAAACCACCCTTACATCCATCCACCAAACCGCCATTCAATCATAACAAGCAGTGCTTACCTAGCTCCTCTACAACTGTAGCACTTACCAAGCAACATGAAACCCACGACTCGCCGGACTACCATCCAAGATCACCCACAGTCACCGCTGCTACAATGGACAGAATCAAAAGGGCTTTACAAAATGATAGGATTCTTAACCCTTCATGTAAGGAGATCTTGGAAGTTTGCTATTTACCGAAGGGAATTGAAGCCACAATCATGGATGCTTCTAAACTCGACTTGATCAATGAGGTCTCAAGACTGAAGAACCAGCTAAAAGCTGCAGAGGACAAGCTGAATTTGGTGAAGGAGACTTCAGGACCCCAAGGGGACGCTGGGCCACATGAGGTGCCGTTAAGTAAGCTTCACCAGCTCATGGAGAGAGCTGAAGCTAATCACACAGAGCTGATGAGTTTTTTCAGGGAAGTCATTGCTTGCTCAGGTGGGGCGGATGGCCAGAGATCCGATCAATGGCTGCAAATTCAAATTTCAAATTCCTCACCCCATAAGTCACGTCAGTTGGGAGAACGTGTAGCCCCCTCTCTTGTCACTGTTTGTCAGGATAAAACACCCTCACTCTCTGTACCTATCCCTGCTAAACATAGTGTCCTAAGTGGGCCTTCTTTGACTAGTGAAGTGCAACTTCTACCTGCTGGACAATCATCTTGCCACCAGCAAGAAACTATCCCATTGCCCAATGAACATCAACCCATACCACAGTCCAGTAGATCATGGGCTGATGTTGTGCAGCAAGCACCTCCTTTACCCTCTTCTCAACGAATGATTTTTGAGTTCTTTGAGCCCACTAAGACTGACACCGGATTTGTGGTTGAACCACCACCTGAGGTTGAGGCTGAGGGAAGCTCATCATGGGTGGGCTTACTTGCAGGAAGACTTTTAAAAAGCCACCATTCAGTTTGGTACAAAAGACAGCAATGAAGCTTTGGAGGGCCAAAAAGGACTTCAGCATGTTTATGCTGATGGAGGGGGCATTTACTACTTCAAGTTTGACAATGAGGCTGCAGCTTGCATGGTTCTGGCGTTGGGGCCGTATCACATGGCTGGGAAAACACTTCAGTTGCAAAAATAGCAACCTCTTATTGCACAAGACCTGGGTAAAAGTCAATTTGTGCAAGTTTGGGTCAAATTTTTTAATATTCCAGTGCAGTTTTGGACTGCAAAAGGGCTAAGCCACGTAGCTAATTCTGTGGGCAGACCTTTAAGGGCAGACATGGCAACTGATGGAAGAGAGAAATTAAAGTATGCAAGAATATGTGTTGAGATTGACTTGAATGCACCTCTGACTCACACATTTCCATTGAAAAAAGGGGATGGTAGTTTGGTTGACATACTGGTGGAATACCAGGGGATTCCCAAATTTTGTATCGCACGTAAGAAGGTTAGGCACACTACAACCATTTACCCCGCCCCCTTGACAACAACTAATTCCTCCAAGCATTGGAATGTGGTTACTAGAAGTAAAGGGATACACTCAAGACAGTGCCCCATCCCCAGGGTTCCTAACCTTGGTGGTGAAACAACTCCCATCATCACAGCAACCACATCTCAAACCACATTACTTCCACCAACATCAACTCCGAATACTATGCCCAATGACCTACAATTACAATTACATGCCCTTGCCCACACCATACCAACAGCTCATGACCCACCACCTGCAGCAAGATGTTCATTATTACAAGCTAAACAATTGGCCAGATCACTCCCAACCAAAGTGAGCTGTGGCAACTTGTCAAACCCATGTTCTACATCTCAGGCAGTCCAAAATGAAGGTTTACCAGATGAAGCAAGCCACATTGAAGGTTCAACAAATGATCTAGCTGGCCTTGAGCAGTCAGTTCCACTATCCACTTCTTCACACAGTCAATCTAGCGCGGCTTCTTCACAGGGCAAGAAAACCGTTACAAAGATCAAGAAGGGTGTACACTTGAATGTCTTCCCCTACAAGGGGTTAGGGCATTTGAGAGGTAAGTTAAAGGCCCCTCTCAATGACTAGCTTCACATCATGGAATGTGAGAGGCTTGAACAGTCTCTCTAGGTGGCTTGCAGTGAAGGACCTCATTTCCTCTTGTAAGCCAGATATGATTTCTATTTTGGAAACAAAGGTTTCACGGGGTAACATAGGGAGCATTCTAAGGTTTATTGCTCCTAGGTGGTCATGCATGAACAATTATGATTTCTCAGCCTTGGGTAGGATCTGGATTTTATGGAATCCAGAAAAGTTAAAGGTTAATCTTGTTGGGGCAGCTAGACAGGTCTTGCACTGCTCTGTAACACTTTCTGACAACACTCATCTTTATGTTTCTTTTGTCTATGATACAAATTCGTATGCGGATAGGAGAGCATGTATACTCATATATACATGTATATCCATTCATGGGTAAAAACTGTACCCATTCCCACTATCTAAATAGTCCGTTGATCCTATCCAAGCCCAACTCCATTTAAAAATAATACATTTAATTTAACAATTAATTCAATTTTAACATACAATGTCAAACAAACGAAACAAATACCATATAAACATATAATTCAATTAAAACAAATAAATTAAGTTAAACAAATAAATCATGCAAATAAACAATTAAACAAATAAATCAATTAAACAATTAATTCAATTAAATATACACATGAAACCATATAAACACATAACCACGTAAGCAACCAAAATATAATAAAATAAAATAATTAACTTCTAATTATATCCTTTTAAAATTAGGGGTATTACAAGAAGACTCGAAGGAAGAGAAGCAAGACTGTTATAAAAATTTTAAATTACAATGCTACCCTAATATTGAAAATGTTTGTTGAATGAACAATTCAATAAGAGAGTTCAGATCAAATTAATATTGATATACCAATTCAATCCGAGCTCTTGAAATGAAAGAAGTTCGTTGAAGTTCGTTGTCAGATCACAAAATCTTAGTGATCTTGTCTGAAGTCATATATCTCTAATTTAGATAATAATTTATGCCTTTTCTTTTATATTGGATTTCCAAAAGATGCCAAGCTTATTCAAATGTTGACTCATCTGGAGAATTTATCAAACTTGTTCAAGCTAAAAGAAATGTGTCTCTGTCTTCTTTATCTTCGAAACAAGGCTTACAATTTTCTAAAATATATATATCACACACAACAAAAAATGTACAACTTACCATTGGAAAAACAATTTTCTAAAATATATATATCACACACAACAAAAAATGTACAACTTACCATTGGAAAAACAACCTCGATGTCTTTCATTAATGTCAATTCTCTATTTGAGACAAGCAGTAAATGATGTTTATCATCGCCCAAGATTTTGGCAAACCTTTTCAAAGCCTAAGGCCATTTGCAGCGGGCTCGCGGAAGCCCAATTTCTGCGAGCCAAGGGCTGTTGGGTGCACAGCGCCCTAGCTAAAATGGTGGGCCCTGTTTTTTCTCATGGGCCAGTTCGTAGTATTCAACGAGCCAGCCCGCGATCGCTGCCCTTTTTTTTTTTTTATTTCCTGCAAAACGGCGCCGTTTTGGGCTGCCTGTTTTGTCTTATGCTATGCTGGAACAGTGGCTAAACAGTGCCTTTTTTTAAATAAAAAAAAAACCCCTAAAAATAGGTTATTTTGAGCTCTTTT